TTGCCTGATGATGCAGTGGGTTCCATGACTTGCTGGTTTTCTGTCTAGTTCTACACACTGTATGAGCCACGCAGTGAGCACTTTCCACTGTGTCACCCTTGGCTTCGCACCTGCTGCAGTTCGCTGCAGATTGACTCTTATTGTCGTGTACTGTCCTTTGTCTTTGGTAGTTGTACCTAAGCTAAAGCTGATTTTATCTGTTTTATAGTCCCTTGTTTTTTCTTGTGGTTAATGTTCATACATCCTCCTCCCATCCGTTCAACCTGCCTCTACCATTATAATTGAGGTAAACTTCTTGAGTTTCTTTAGAGCTGTCATTTTTTTTAAGATTTTAAAATTTTTATGTGTATGTATGCATACCTGAATGCATGTACGTGTGCATGCAAGTGCCCTCACAGGCCAGAAGAGGGTGTCACATCCCCTGAAACTAGAGTTACAGGCAGTTGTGAGCCACCTGATGGGGATGCCAAGCCCCAAACTTGGGTCTTCTGCAAGAGCAGCAAGTAACTGCAGAGCCAGCTCTCCAGCCTGAGAAGCATTGTTTTTAATCCACTCTGCACTATCTTTTTAAAAAAACTTATTCTCTGAAAATTTCCTGATCATATCCACCCTTCACTCTACCCCAGCTACCCCCAAGACCCCCATCTCATTTCCCTCCCAATGTCAAGTCCTCCTTGTTTGTTTATTTGTTTAAACTCATGGAATTCAGTAGTGCTGCCCATATGCGCATGGGTTGGGGTCACCCCAGGGGGTAGGAGCAACTTTCTAACAGCCACATTCCTAAAAAAAAGCACCTCTCCCTCCCCCAGCAGCCTGGTAGGGAACACCCCCTCCTCCATGCTGGAATTTTAAACTGACTTGATCTTGCGTAGGTCTTGTGTAGGTAACCACAGCTGCTGTGAGTTCATGAGTGCAACGTCCATGTCATGTCCAGCAGACAGCATTTCACAGCCTCTTCTCCATCCTCTGGCACTTACATTCTTTCTGCCTCCTCTTCTGGAGTATTCCCTGAGCCTTGGATGGAGGTTGATAGAGATGTCCCACTTTTTCTCAGCACTTTGAGCAGTAATATATCTTTGCATTAATGACTGCAATAAGAAGCTTCAATGATGGAGATTCAGTTCAGGGCCTCTTGCTCACAATGCAAGCACTTGCCCAACTGAGCTATATACAGACCCAGCCTCAATCTGTCTTCTAATTGATGTGTTTACATGTTACGCATTTAATGTAACTATTTACACTCTAGAGCTTAATTCTGCAATTTTACATTTTACTTTCTAATTGTGCTCTGACTTTTGTTTGTTTTTTACTTCCCTGCCCTCTTATGAGTTTCTGTAGTGGTGTGTCTTTGTTTGTTTGTTTGTTTGTTTGTTTGTTTGTTTGTTTTTGGTTTTTTTGTTTTGTTTTGGTTTGGTTTGGTTTTTTTGAGACAGGCTTTTCCTGTAGCTCCAGCTGGCCTGGAACCTGATATGCAGATGTGGCCTGAATTCTCTCTGGGTCTCCTGCGCAATCAGACAAACCATATAATATATTTTATGTGAGTTTATTAACTTACAAAAGAATGAGTACCCAGTGCCTAGCCCTGACTCAGAGCCCGCCTTATCAGACCGTGCCACACCCATAGCCCAGCTCACGCCTCTGGGGCCAGCAATCTCGACCCAGGTCCACAGGGAGTCAGTCCATTCTGTCTTTGAGTTGCTGCGCTGGCTGCTAGTTTCCTACACCATCACGCTCTACCAGCAGCTCCTGGCTTCCATCCCAAGATAGCTCCCAACTTCCCCTCCTACTTCCCCATCCGTGTCAGGCCCCGCCCATTAGAGGAACCAGCCAGTCGGGAAACAGAAGACCAGAGTGGCCTTGATCTCACAGAGATCTCTGTGCCTCTACTTCCTGCATGCTGATATTAAAAGCATGTACCACCATTCCGGCTTGTTTAATGTTTTTTAAGGTATTCTAGTAGATTTTTTAGTAGTTCCTCTCCAGGTGCCACATCCTCTTTATGTAGCTCATCACAGACTAGTGATGTCATCATTTTATCAGTTCCAGAAAAATAGAGAAATCTTCCTTATTGTGTGTTCCCTGACTGCCCCTTCAGCATACAGTTGTCTTGGATGTTTCTTGTGTCTATATTAGAACATCATCCAGCAGTATAGAAACTTCTGCCTCAGCCACTAAGCGTAGTTTAGAGAACGTAAGAGGAGAGCCTGTAGTCTCACGTTTTTGCTTTCTGAGTTCTTCTTCCTGTTCTTCCAAGGTCTTGTCTTTTCATTGTTTCCTTTCTGTTACAGAACACGCTCTGCTGCTCTTTTAAGGCAGAGCTGTTGACAACAGATATCTTAATTTCGCTCTATCTGGGAATGCCTTGGCATTTTCCCTGAGTAGACCTCTGGGTTGGTGTGTCTTTTCTCTTCGGTTGAAGCTGTGACAGCAGCTGCATTGCCCTCCCTATGTGCATAGAGGTATTGTTCTCTTTGTCTTTGTGCTTCTGAAGTTTAGCTCTTTTCCCTTTGTTCCTGAAACATTTTCCCTGAGTAGACCTCTGGGTTGGTGTGTCTTTTCTCTTAGGTTGAAGCTGTGACAGCAGCTGCATTGCCCTCCCTGTGTGCATAGAGGTATTGTTCTCTTTGTCTTTGTGCTTCTGAAGTTTAGCTCTAACGTGGCTTAGGTACAAAATCTTCAGGTCTATACATTTGGTTTTCACTGCCCTGAAATCTGTAGGTTTGTTTCTGAGCAAATTTGACCCGTGTTCAGTGATCACTTCTTCAAGTACTTTCCAGGGCTTTTTTGTTCTCCTGCACTTCCGGCGCACACGTAGCGTGAGACAGGCCTGTCTTAGGTCCCAAAGGTCCTCAGTACTGTGCCCCATTTTTTTCAGTCTTTGCCCCTCTGTTGCTTGGTCTGAGAAACGGCTGTTCTGCCGTGCAGTTCACTGATTCCTTCTGTTCACCTGTCCTGCTGTTGAGCCCACCCAGTGTATACATGATAGTGTCTATGTTTTTTGGTTCTGTTAATCTCCATTTGTTTTTTTTCTTTCTCTCTCTTTGTGTGGTGTTTCGCCCACACCAGAGGTCAATGTCAGGTATCTTCAGTTCCTGTCCACCTTATTTTTGACATAGAATCTCTCACTGAACCTGAACCTCACCGGTTGGCTAGACTGACTGGCCAGCAAGCCTGGGGCTCCTCCTGTCTCTGCCGTGACAGTGCTGGGATTACAGGCTCATGCTACTGTGCTTGTCTTCTTTAATGTGGGAGCTGCAGATCAAACTCAGGTCCTACTGCTTGCTCAGCGGGCGTTTCCCTGACTGGGCCATCTCCCCAGCCCCTCCATGGCCCAGCCCCTCCATTTGTTTGTTTTCCCTCCCTCCCTCCCTCCCTCCCTTCTCTCCCCCCTTCTCCTCTGTCTGTCTGTCTGTCTTTTCAAGACAGGGTCTCCCTGTATCCCCAGCTGACTTGAAATCTTTTTCTTTTTTTTAAAAAAAAAATTATGTGTATTAAGTTTATTGCCTGCATTTGTATAAGTGCACCTGTGTTGCACAGTGCCCACGGAAGTCAGAAGAGGGCACTGGATCTCCTATAGCTAGTCTCCCCCCTTCTCCTCTGTCTGTCTGTCTGTCTTTTCAAGACAGGGTCTCCCTGTATCCCCAGCTGACTTGAAATCTTTTTCTTTTTTTTAAAAAAAAAATTATGTGTATTAAGTTTATTGCCTGCATTTGTATAAGTGCACCTGTGTTGCACAGTGCCCACGGAAGTCAGAAGAGGGCACTGGATCTCCTATAGCTAGAATTACAGGCTCTTGTGAGCCACCCATGGGTGCTGGGATCTGAACTAGGGTCCTCCGGAAGAGCAGCAGCAAGTATTCTTAACCACAGAGCCATCTCTCTAGTCCCAAGTTTATTTTTTCTTTGGTACTTTTGCTTTCATGATTCTGGGGATTAAACCAGAGCCTCACGTATGCTGCTCAGGCACTCTGCTGCTGAGCACAATAATTAGCCCTGATGTTTTTGTTTTTTTTTTTTTTTTCATTAGTTTCAAGCGTTTTTGTAAGTTTTTTGAAGCATTTTTTGAGAGTTCTTTTAATGGTTGTAGGTAGGTCTAACATTTCTGTCATCTCTGTATTAAGCTTCAGATCGTCCAGTGATCTGGTATTAAAAGTGATTTTTCACATTGTATCCAATAACTGCACCTGATTCACACCTCCCCCTTCAGCTTGCCTTCTTTGACGCTCCTCTGACTGGGTAGGTGGGTATTAGTGGAGATGGAAGCTCACGTTCCCCTTTGGCCTTTGTTAATGCCACTGATGGAGATGTTCATTCTTCCTGGACAGAGGTGGGCAGCATTACTGTTAGGTGATATGGAAGTCCCCACCCCTGCTGAATTTCATTTTGATCCATGCTGCTTGGGAGACAGGTTTTTAACTGGTGCTTCTAAGGTGCTGGGTTGGAGGAGAGCAGTTACTGTCTAAATATCATCACTCCTGCTATGCTGCTCTTTCCCAGTCCTGACTGGACAGAGCAGGCTCCCTTTGCCCGCTCTCTTTTGATTGACCCTTCTTGGATTTCCTGGGTTCCTGGTTCTTCAGTTCCAGGTCAGTGATTTGAAGAGAAAAAGGACACCCAGTAGACCTACAGAGTGATTTTCCTTGGTCTCCAGTCCCTAGTTAGTGTCTACTATCTCTCAGCTCTCCTCTGTTGTCCACAGACGTTTGTTTTACATAAAATGGCCTGAGCTTTTATTTGTACTTAATCGGAAGAATAGGGGAAAGCATACATCTTTTCCATCTTCCTCAGAGCAGAAGTCTACTGAGTCATTTCAACATCTTGTCACCTCATGTGCTTTATTTCTTATCTAGTAAAATTTTCTGTCTCATATTAAAAAGATACAGTCTATAGCTACCCTGATGCAAGATACTGATAAGTGTTTTTAAATTAGGACAACAGATGAATGAACAGTGAATTAGTTTGCCTACCACATGTGAATTGCTCTCTGCCTTCTGTGCCTAGGTTGGGGCAAACACTATGGATAATCCCTTGTTGAAGTACAGTGCAAAGGATTACTTCTTCAAAGCAGCACTCTGTCACTTCATAGTGGACGAGCTGAATGCCAAGGTGAGGACATGCTCCTTTTCTGATGAGTTTGCCTTTTAGAACAGGCCTCAACAAATAGGTGTTGTCATTCTTGATGTCATTTCATATAGGTATCGATAGCAAGACACTAAAAATAGTACTTCAGGGCTAGAGAGATGGCTCAGCACTTAAGAGCACTGGCTGTTCTTTCAGAGGACCTGGATTCAGTCCCCAGCACCCACGTGCCAGCTAACAGCTGTCCTGGGGGATGCAACACCGTCTTCTGGCCTCTGTGGTCAGGCAGGCAAAACACTCATACATAGAAATAATTTTTTATTATTTGTTATTTTTATTTTATATGTATGAATGTTTTGTCTGCATGTGTGTTGTGCAATGCCCGCAGAGGTCAGAAAACGGCATTGGATTGATTCCCCTGGAACTGGAGTTACAGACAGTTGTTAGCTGCTATGTGTATGGTGGGATCTGAACCTGGGTCCTCTGAAAGAGCAGCCAGTGTTCTTACCTGCTAGCCAGTCTAGCCTGGTAAGCTCCAGATTCAGTGAGAGACCCTATCTCGAAACATAATGCAGAGTGTGATAGAAGAAGGTGCTCGATGTTGACCTCTGGCCTCCACATGCAATCTCACATACTTACACACACACCCACATGAATACAGACATACTGCCCCTTGCTACAAATCAAATAGTAATAATTCTGTACTGAACATGACCCATGTGGTCCCAACCCTCTAGAACCAGGGGAGATCTATGATTGTATACCCCCCCCCCCAGTGCCACTGCCTCCAAGTTCCAGCACTCACCTGGCAGAGCAGTCGTCGGGATCAAGAGATCTGACAGAAAGCCACCTACTGATGCCACCCAGATCCTGTCACTCCCCCCAAAAAGTCCTGACAGGGACTTGTCAGAAGCCACTGCTACCTGAGAGATGTCCAGAGAGAACTGACTCTAGTTCCTACATTTTAGATAGGGTCAGAGACCAAATCCCAGCCTTGCTATCTAGCCAGAGGCCACTAGACAGGCCACCTGCTATGGAATGACCAACATCTCTGCTATATGACAAAGCCCCTCTGGTGACCAACCCAAGCGCCTCACCATCAGCCGGGTCCCTGCCACTAGAAAGACCTTTGGGAGTGATGGACCCAGGGCCACCAGCCCCCACTGACCTGAGACTTTCACCCCTAAACAGGCTGCTGGTATCAGCAGTCCCAAACCCAGGCATTTAACAGGCCTCACCCAGCCCCTTGTCAAATCCCATGCCTCTTCCCAGGGACTTCCGACTCCTGAGAAAGTACTATCAGCTGTGGTCCAGTCCCTGCTACTAAAGAAAAAGCACTGAGGACTGTAGAGCAGATCACTCGGTCAAAACACAAAGCTGCTGCGGTGATGGGTCTCATAGACTCAATTTCTTCCTGGAAGGAGCAGACTGCTTCTCCTCATGAGACTGATGCAAGTGCTGGAGTCAAGCTCATAGGCTTCCAGCAAAGGTCGGGATCATACGACACAAGCTGTGGAGAACTGCAGCATCACTTCTAGCCACCTGGAAAAGCAATGGCCCCTTCAGAATACCCTTGGCAAACTGTTAAATCACTCACCCACCAGCCATCTTTCTCCACCTCCCGCCAAAGCTTTATATATATGAATCAGCAGGTCAAGCCTCAGGAAGAGATCTTGTAGGAACTGAGCAGATCCCAGGGCCTCCCAGCACAGCCCCAGGCCTGGTGAAATAGATGTCTAGAGGCCAGCAACTACCTGGACTTGCTAAGAGTGGGAAGTTCTTCAGGTCTCTTGGGAAGGTCCAAGCTCTTCCCTTACCCACTGAAGAGAAGAAGTTGGCAGCCACAGAACAGAGTCCCTGGAGCCTGGGGAGAGCCTCACCAGGGCCAGGGCTGTGGCCCAGAGTGGCTGGACAAACACTAGCCCAGTCTTACAGGTCTGCTGGGGGCACACAGACGTTGGCACAAATGCTGATCACTTGACAGAGGCGAGCCACCAAACCAGAGCAAAACACATTTCAAATTCTTTTTTTTTTTTAATATTTTATTTTTTTATGTGTGTGTTATGCCTGCATGTAGATAAGTGCACCCATGTCGTGCAGTGCCCACGGAGGACAGAAGAGGTGGTCAGAGCCCCTGGAACTGGAGTTATGAACAGTTGTTAGCTGCCATGTGGGTGTGGGATTCGAACCCAGGTCTTCTGCAAGAACAACCAGTGTTCTTAACTGCTGAGCCATCTCTCCAGCCCCATTTCAAACTCTTAACCAGTCTCCTTCTGTTTGCAGATGTGCAGAGTCAGAACAGAAATAATAGCGGTAAACATCACATAGCGAGACAAGCTGCCTCCAGGGTACCATTCAGCGGGAGGGGAATCTTCGTTACTTTCTCCTTGAAAAACAGGCATACCCCAACTCTTTCACTGTTCTTTCCTTATATCCCAACACTCAGAACTCTTCTCACATTAGCCCATGGAGACTTTGTGGTTGTGTGAACCATGTATGGAAATCTTTCAGCCCTGGTTAAGGAGACAGCAGACTCGAGTTTCTTTACCCTAACTTTTCCATATGCTCAACTTAAAATAAGGCCACTCTGGAAAAGAAAATAATAATTCTGTGACATGTATCACAGTGTGACTGTTTGAACAGCTGCAAAGCTCTGCTCTTTAAAGTTGCTGAGCCATCTCTCCAGCCCCATTTCAAACTCTTAACCAGGCTCCTTCTGTTTGCAGATGTGCAGAGTCAGAACAGAAATAATAGCGGTAAACATCACATAGCGAGACAAGCTGCCTCCAGGGTACCATTCAGCGGGAGGGGAATCTTCGTTACTTTCTCCTTGAAAAACAGGCATACCCCAACTCTTTCACTGTTCTTTCCTTATATCCCAACACTCAGAACTCTTCTCACATTAGCCCATGGAGACTTTGTGGTTGTGTGAACCATGTATGGAAATCTTTCAGCCCTGGTTAAGGAGACAGCAGACTCGAGTTTCTTTACCCTAACTTTTCCATATGCTCAACTTAAAATAAGGCCACTCTGGAAAAGAAAATAATAATTCTGTGACATGTATCACAGTGTGACTGTTTGAACAGCTGCAAAGCTCTGCTCTTTAAAGTTTTCCTTCAATGGCTTTAAAGAAATTAGGGAACTAAGAGGGGACAGTAAAACCAGAATAATGTCCTGTTTTAACATTTGTGGGGGAGGAGGGCATGCACATATGTCACAGCATGAGTGTAGAAGAAAGGACAACTTGGCAGGAGTTGGGTCTCTCTTTCCAACATGTGGGATCCAGGAACTGAATTCAGGTTCAGACTTGGCAACAAAGGGCTTTTCCCACTGTGCCACCTCACAAGCCCTGTTGTCTTCTGTACAAACAACCTCAGAGGTAGAGTTAGAATGAAGATGGGTGAAGCTACAAAGCAAAGTGACAGGAAGCAAGACAGGACCTGGGCAGCCTCAGTGTGACTGTCTGGAGTCGCAAGAGCCACAAAGAGAAAACTGTTCCAGAGTTCTTTTCCACCCAAGGTTGATCTGAATGGATCTGTTTGGCATTTGGATAGTGTTAAGGAAGAGCCTCTCTGTTTAACAGACACAGATCCCTGACAGGGATTAGACTTTACTTAGAGTTTCTTCTTTCCAGCAGCCTAACTTCAAAAAAAATCAGTATAGAAATTTATTCACAATTAAAACTGAGTATGTAAAATGAATAGGTTTCCTGTGTTGATCATGATGTTGAGTTTAACACCATACTTCTTAAACACTTAAATGGGATGGAAATTAATAGAGAATTGAATCCTTTCTTAGTTCAGTAAGTTTCACATTGACTAGTTGTTTTCCTTCCTTAGCTTGCTCTTGAGAAATATGAGGAAATGTTTCCGGCATTTACTGATTCCAGAGAATGTAAATTATTGAAAGTAAGTACTGATGCAACTAAAGAGAACAGCCTCGGTCAGGTATGATGGCACATGCCTTTAATCCCAGTCCTCGGGAGGCAGAGGCAGGCAGATCTCTGTGAGCTCAAGGCCAGCCTGGTCTACATAATAAGACCCTGTCTCCAAATTTTTTTAAAAAGGGGGTGGGGGTAGGGGAAGTGCCTAAGTGGGACTGGTGATAAGTATAACTGTAATCAGTAATCTTCTGAGCATGTATTAGTTACTGTACTTGTTGTTATGACAAGATACCTGTGAAGAAGTAACTTAACAGAGGAAAGGTTTGTTTCGGCACTCGGTTTGAGGGGACAGTCTGTCATGGTGGGGACTGCATGGCACTGGGAACGGAAGGCAGCCAACCACGTTGTGCCTACTGTTAGGAAGCAGAGACAAAGGAATGCTGCTGGTCCCCTCACTTTCTCCTTTATTCAGTCAGGACCTCTCAGACCCATCTCTTCTTCAGTCAAACCTTTCTGAAAACACCCTTACCCTGGAAGTGTGTTTCCATAGTGATTCTAAGTCAAGTTGACAGTGTGGCTTGACTGTCACAGAGGATGTCCTGTATTTTGCTGTTTTGGGTTGTAGATGTTCAGATGCCAAGAGGTTTGGGATTATTAACCCCGTGTTCTGAAATAGGCAGCTTCAGAATGCCAGTACCAAAGCTCAAGCCTCAACTAAGGTAATTCTTAATATAGCCCCAATTTTTTGCAATGTTTGGCAACATCAGTCAATGAGATACTAATGCAATATTGTGTTTGAAATATTCAGAAATGGAACTTTTTGGTGTTAAAGTAATTTCTTTATTTTTTAATGCTGTCAGAAACTTTTAGAAGCTCATGAAGAACAGAACAGTGATGCTTACACAGAAGCAGTAAGTTAAGCTTTTGTATGTGTTACATTTTTAAAGGTTTACATTCTAGAATGTATAAATTCATTGTATAAATTTTGAACATTTATTTGCATGTGGTTCTCTCTGCTTGTATTTTCCAAAAGTCATGTCTTACCTGTCCCATGAATTAATTCCATTAACCAATAGCCATGTTGGTTGGAAACATAGAAATTCTAATTGTATTCAGTCCTGTTTCTTTTTTCTTTTCTTTTTGAGACAGGGGTAGCCCAAGCTGGCCTGGAACTCATGTAGACCAGGCTGGTCTTGATCACATAGAGATCCACTTGCCTCTGCCTCCCCAGTGCTGGGACTAAAAGTGTGAACTACCACACCTGGCTCGGTACAGTAGTTTCTTGATTTACACTCAGAGCTAATTTAGCTATAAGGCTTCTTTAAAAGCATATAACACTGGGGCTGGAGAAATGGCTCAGCAGTTAAGAGCACTGACTGCTCTTGTAGAGGACCCGGGTTTGATTCCCAGCACCCACATGGCGGCTACAAACCGTCCTTGACTCCAGTTCCAGGGGAATCCGAAGCCCTCTTCTGACCTCCATGGCGTTGCACAAGACAGGTGCACTCACATACATTCAGGCAATATACTCCTGCACATAAAATAATAAATTTTTTTTTTAAAAAGCATATGGTCGGGCGTGGTGGCGCAAGCCTTTAATCCCAGCACTCAGGAAGCAGGGGCAGGTGGATCTCTGTGAATTCAAGGCCAGCCTGGTCTCCGTAGTGAGTTCCAGGACAGCTGGGGCTACAGGGAGACCCTGTCTCAAAAAAGACTAATTAATTAATTAATTAAATAACACAACAACAACAAAAAACCCCAGCAGAGTGTGGTGGCACAGGCCTTTAATCCTAGCACTCAGCAGGCAGGGGCAGGCGGATCTCTGTGAGTTCAAGGCCAGTCTGGTCTACATAGTGAGTTCCAGGACAGCTGGGGCTACAGGAAGAACCTGTCTCAAAAAGACCAAAAAAAAAAAAGCATATGACACTTAGGGTCTGCAGGAATGACTCAGTGGTTGAGAATGTGTACTCTCCTTGCAAAGGACCTCAGTTCCATTGCTAACACCTGTATCAGGTGGCTCACAACCATTTGTTAAATACGGCTCCAAGGGATTTGACACCCTCTGACCTCCTCAGGCCCCCTTCACTTACGTGCATATTCCGCCCCCATTTAAAAATACATGTCTTTTTAAAAATATTTTATTACTTTTATTTTATGTGTATGAGTGTATATTGCCTGCATGTATGTAAGTGTGCCTGTGTCATGCAGTCAGTACCCATGGAGATTAGAAAACAGCGTCGGATTCCCCTGGAACTGGAGTTACAGGTGGTTGGTTGTCAGTCACCATGTGGGAGCTGGGAATCGAATCCAGGTCCTCTGCAAGAATAGCCAGTGCTCTTAACTGCTGAGCCAACTCTCTAGCCCCTATAAATCTTTTTTTTTTTTTTTTAAGCAAGTAACATATAGAGTTTTAACTTGCAATTTTAATTACTTCTTTTGAAAACAGTCGGGCTGGGCATGGTGACGCATGCTTTTAATCCCAGCACTTAAGAGGAAGAAATCTCTGTAAGTTCGAGGCCAGCCTCAGTCTACATAGCAAGTTCCAGGCCTGTTAGGGCTACATAGTGAGACCCCGCCTCAAAAAAAAACAGGAAAGAAAGATGTGATTCATGAATAAGTGTACGGTAGTATTAATTACTTAAAATATTATTTAAAATATAAAAACTGAGACTGGCATATTTGTGACGTAGATTTTTCTTTTTATTCATGCTTGTTTTTTTTCTGTTTTCCTATCTTTTGCAATCTTATGTTCAGAATCATGCAGATTTCTCAGTAGCCAGGACTCTATATTCTGGCTATAGTCTTAAAAGTGATAGTGAAAAGAAATGTCTTGGAGGCTGGAGTGATGGCTCAGTGGTTGAGAGCATTGGCTACTCTTGAAGAGGACCTGAGTTTGGTTCCCAGCACCCATGTGCTAGTTAACAACTTCCATAACTCAGATTCCAGGGGATCCGGTGCCATCTGCTTCTTCAGGCATTTCACGCATGGGTTCATACATGCAGGCAAAAAACCTCATACATATTAAATAAATAATAAATATATCATTTTTAAGAAGGAATGTCTTCTTTAATTTTTACACATTGTCACGTGTGGTGACACGTCTTTAATCCCAGCACTTTAATCCCAGGTAAGGAGCAGGTGGACTTCTGTGAGATTGAGGTCAGCTTGGTTTACATAGTGAGTTCCAGGCCAGTTGGGGCTAGTGGGCGATCCTGCCTTAAAAAAACAAAACAATAAATAGAAAACGCACTTCACCCTGTTGTAATTTTCTTCTTTCACAGTGTGCTGAAATGCATTGTGGGAATTCTGCTATCTCCGCCCCTGCCCCCACCTGTTAGGTTGTGTTGCTTCATAGTCAGTAAATACTAGTTTGCCTTATTCCTTCCTAATTCTGTGTCCACTGCCCTCTGTCCCATTGAATTTACTTTCCCAGTCATATCAACTGTTCCTAAATGTTGCCATGTACAAGTTCACTACAGAGAAGAATTCAGTGCAGGGGCTCATGGCACTATTGGTGTAGTCAGAGGATAAAGGAAGAGGAAACTCTTTTGGATGAAGAAAGCTACAGATTAGAATGACTAAATTCTAATCAAAGCTGGTAGGTTATTGCAGCAACATCTTGAGATAGCCTGGATCATTATTTGTGTTTTCGGTGTATTTCCGTGGCATAATTCCTGTTCCCCTTTCCTTAAATAGGTGAAGGAGTTTGACTCAATATCACGCTTGGATCAGTGGCTGACCACCATGTTGCTTCGTATCAAGAAGTCCATCCAAGGGGACGGAGAAGGAGACGGAGACCTCAAGTGAAATGTTGACCTTTGTGGCACGCAGCTCGTTCCTCTTTAGTTTTGTCTGTGGGCAAAGTAATCTTTCTAGAAGGGATGCTCATCTAATGACTTAATTTTCTTATAAATAAGCCACATGGTTTATATATTGTTTCAGCTTGCCATGTCTGTGTTACTGTTAGAATGGGAGGCTTTTGTTCAGGTTGTGGTTATGACAACCAAAGTATATGCCATGCTTACCAGAGTCCTCATAACTTTCTGAGTACTGCTGAATCATTCCTGTTCTTTTGATATTTACAGAGCCCATGTTTAATATTGCCACATGTTTTATTTTCCTTAAACTCTGGAACTCAGCCCAGTTATTTCATAGATGCTTTGCAAAGACCCCATGCACTGATATCTGGATGTACCCTCCATGTGTATGGTTTAGTTTAGGGTAGTTATTAGGAATGACTTGTTAACTTCATTAGAAACTGGTTTTGTTTTGTGACTATTTTGATGGTGCTAGTGATGAGTTTATTTGCTTTTTGTTAGTGTGCTCACGTGTGCATGGCAAACACAGAGCAACTGAGAACTGTCATCACTTTCTTCATAGGAAGGAGCTTGCTGCCAGTTTCTGTTTCTCTGGGGATGAATGTCAAGGAGGAATTTTACTGTTTTTTGGGTTGGTTTTTTTTTTAACTTACACACAAAAGATGAGGAATGAAATTTTTCCCTTCCCAGAAAAAAAATTCATTTTTATTTGGAATGGGAATCCCTCTCTTCTTATTTGCATAAAGATGTCTTAATTGACATCTCCTTTATTTTTATATTTATACATGCCCCTCATAGTCTTCTGGACCATGGTCATGCCAGTCTTGATCAGAGCTGGACAGAGGATGCCAGCCAAAGCTTGAGGCTGTGTGTGGTGGTTAAGTGGTATCAGTATGGCACAGGAAGAGTATGTTATGCCTGATTGGGCAAGAACCTCACTTGTGTCTCAGGAGCCCTGTTTTTTCCTCTAAGCTAGAGTGATTTTTCTCTAAGCTGGAGTGATTTCAGCTGTGTGAACTCTGTCCTGTTAAAGTGTGTGCTGTCTTGATTTAAGAGTTCAAGCCTCCCTGGTACTTATATGCTGATACTGTACTGTAGACATGGTCTTGCTTCTTGAGTCTCCTGTGCATATTTTTAATGCTGTGATAATTTGTGTTTGAAGTACATATGTTATGAGAAATAACTCACAGTCCCAATGTTCTGCTGTCGTTAGTGACAGATAATGAAACTCCTGTTTCATCAGGTAGGAAGCTTTGGAAGACCCTTTGGAAGATGGGAGTTGGAAGCTATTATTGTGTAGAAGTAAAGTGCCTGGCGAGGCCTGAGACCAAGCAAGAAGAGCTTGAAGACTGGTGAGAAAGGTCTGTCAGGAGTGAAAGTAGCCGGAGGTGAGGTTGAAACGAGCCTGATGAGGGCAGGTGATGGAGATGTGTGCCAGACTCTGTGAGGGCAGGTGATGGAGGTCTGTGTCAGGCTCTGTGAGGGCAGGTGATGGAGGTCTGTGTCAGGCTCTGGAGGGCAGGTGATGGAGGTCTGCATCAGGCTCTGTGAGGACAGGTGATGGAGGTCTGTGTCAGGCTGTGAGAGCAGGTGATGGAGGTCTGTGTCAGGCTCTGTGAGGGCAGGTGATGGAGGTCTGTGTCAGGCTCTGGAGGGCAGGTGATGGAGGTCTGCATCAGGCTCTGTGAGGACAGGTGATGGAGGTCTGTGTCAGGCTGTGAGAGCAGGTGATGGAGGTCTGTGTCAGGCTCTGTGAGGGCAGGTGATGGAGGTCTGTGTCAGGCTCTGTGAGGGCAGGTGATGGAGGTCTGTGTCAGGCTCTGTGAGGGCAGGTGATGGAGGTCTGTGTCAGGCTCTGTGAGGACAGGTGATGGAGGTCTGTGTAAGACTCTGTGAGGACAGGTGGTGGAGGTCTGTGTTAGACTCTGTGAGGGTAGGTGATGGAGGTCTGTGTCAGGCTCTTTGAGGACTCAGTGGCCCCAGTCATGGTGGTGACACAGTAGGAAGCCCAGCAGTCTCTGCATGTCTGGGGGTAGAGGGAATGTGCCCTGGAATCTAATGAGGATTCCTTTTTTCTTCATTTTTTTTCTAAGTTCCTGAATGAAAGCTGGCTGCACCAAAGGTAAAGTTTGCAGTGCAGTCAGTTTGTCCTTCTTGACTCCACTAGACTCTCTTATGAAAACAATGAATAGAGAAAAGTAAGTTTGCTGTACTCACTTTATTCTGCAGCAAGCCACAGGCACACTGAAATGAGGTGTGGGAAGTGGTTCTTAGCTCGAGGCCTCTGGCTCTAAGTCGGCTCATGTGGGAGAGCTTTTGAATACCAGCCAGCCTGTGTGCAGTGTGACCAGCAGTTGTCTTCTGGTCTGACCCTTTAAAGTAAAAACCATATAGTATCTTTCAGGGCAATTATGTTCACCTTACATCATGATACCTTAACAGACATTGTCTGAAATGTGAACTTGTATTGCTTTGCTGTTTTAATCAGTTATCTGCTTATACTGAATAAGTAGTAATGGGCCAGGCGTAGTGACTCATGCCTATAATCCCAGTGCTCAGGAAGGTAAGGTCAAAAGATTTCTCTGAGTTTGAGGCTATCCTGGGCTATATAGTGAGTTCCAGCGTCCCCCCCCCAAAATAAATAAATAAAAAGAAAAGAAACACTGAGGTCAGTGGTTGGTTAATTTTGTCTTAGTACTTGGGAAACTGAGACACCAAGCCCATGATCTTAAGGGTAGCCTGGGCTACATAGTAGCAAGACCTGTCTTTAAAAAAAGTCAAGACCAGACCTGATAGAAAAGAATGAGGAAAATGCCCAGACAGTAGTGTGGAAGCTTACTTCCTCAAATATCCCATATGTCTCAAGATACCTAGGATTTAGGCTTTCAAGATTTCTAAAATATGTGGCTGCAGAAGTGGCTCAGTAATTAATAGGGGTCCTGAGTTCAGTTCCCAACACTCACAACCACATGTAACTCCAGCTCCAGGGTATCTGAGACCCTATTCTGACCTCCTTGGGCACTGATGCTAGCGTGCACGTGCGCGCGCACACACACACAGAGACACACTCTAAAATAAATCTTTAAACAAGATTTCTAGAATTTTAGGAACAAAGTTCAGCAATCGCTTCTGTTGTGGTTCTTGTGCTTAGGCACGTGTGGGGTAGTTCATAGTTAAGTCGGTAAAATTCCTTACAGAAAAGCTTTGCTTTTGTGGCAACATTTTTATAGCTTGTGTGAATTCTTTTTTTATTTAATGATCTCAACCAGTATTTTTGCACAGTTGTGACCATGTGTGGTGATGTCACCATAACCAAAGTATATGCAGCAGCCCTTGTGCATTACTGTTCCCCTGGTACTGTGCACTTGCAATGTCCAAATACAAACCCTTGTGAATCTGGAGGGTCTGGCAGCACAGCATGCCCCGTGACCTGCCTGCTGTGGCGTGAGCTGTGACCAGCAGCAGGCTTCCTGCCCTGTGAAGTCCAGAATTGCTCTCAGGCAGGGGAGTAATTATAAAAACTAACCCTGTAACAATAAATCTACCTTAGCAGAAATGTTTGTTTTATGTGAACTTGTACAGTAAATAAAGTGGAAATTATGAGTAATGATTTGACTAGATTCCCTGACTAAATTGACACGTCAGAGTGGCTTCCTTTCCTTGAGGTTGTTCCCATGAAGCTTACAGCACTGGCATTGCTATTGCTGGGTTCCTTGTACCACAGTTACTTGATTCTGCAGGTTGAAGTCTAGAAGGAAACCCTGTTAGAAGGTGCTCTTTCTTGCTACAGGCCAAGTGCCCTGACTGCTGATCGCGAGTTCTCATTTCTCGAGTCCTTTGACTTCCATGGTCACTTACTGGTTCTGGCAAAGAACCCCAAAGCCCAATGCTCTCTTCCCCTGAAAAGGCAGTGTGGGCTTTAAATCTTGCAGGTATCTGCATAGGAGCAGTAGTTACCCTTGGAGGACACAGGCCCTTGACCACTTAGTCTGAAGTTCTGGGGAGGAGGCGGGGTGGAGTTGTAGGCCCAGTCATCCTGTCACAAAGCTTTGATTGCAGGTATTAAAGCAGATCCACCACACTTTTAAATGAACAGTATAGCAGGCCTTCCCAGTCTAGCAGTTCTGAGAAACTCTTGGCCACTGCAGGGCAAGTCACTCAAGTGTCTCTCAGTTTCCTTACAAAAGGAAGTCAGCCTGGCTCTGTCCCATGTAGACTGCTAGATCAGATAGTCCTGAGGGTGGCCCTCAGGCCTCTGTGACCTTAGTCTTATCTACCTGAGTCCTCCTCCTTCTGAAATGTTACTAAGAATAAGGATACCATTTTATTTTTCTATTGCTGTGACCAAGTTGCCATGACCAAGGGAACTTATTGAGGAGTCTATTTTGGCTTATGGTTCCAGAGGGAGAGTTCACAATGGTAGGGAGACCTGGCTGGAGGTAGCCAGAACAGAAAGCTGAGAGCTCATGTCTTCAAGCACATGCAGGAAGCAGAGAATAAGCTGCAAGTGGGACAAGGCTGTGAACTCCCAAGGCTACCTCCACTAACTTGCTTCCTCCAGCAAGGCCCCGCATTCTAACAACTCCATGACCTCCCCAGACAGCACCATCAACTAGCGACCATTCACCAAGTGTGCAAGTACTTGAGCCTGTGGGGGATGTTTCTCATTCAAACCACCAGATAAACTCTGGTTTGGTTAAGTAGACAAGCACCCATTTGATTTCTAAAAGTTGAACTCCTTGGTGTGATGAGGTGTTAGATTTTAAGAGGTTAAATTATAACTGAAACTTGTTTGGATAGTCACCAACAGCAAAAATCACGTAAGGTCTTTCCTTCTTCCTGGCCCGCTCTTTAAACTACAACAAAACAATTTTGGTAAAACCAAAGGCTACTGAGCCCTCTGGAATTTGGACTTTGTCACAACACAGACTGGTTGGACTGGTATCAGGTCATTTCCCTTAGTGACTTATTGATACCTTGGGAGAGCACTGTGCCAGGACCTCTGGGCAGTCAGAACACTTGGGGTCAACCTACTGGCCTCCCTTTCAACATAGCTGTATTTGGCTTAGGAGAAATAGGGGAGAACAAATTACATGTCTCAGTTAAGAATCTTATTTCTATAGACCCTAAGTTATAATAATATAAAAAATTTAGAATTGCAGAACTACTTTTAAAAAGCAGACAGTAACACATTAAACAACTTTATTTAGAATTTCTAAAGAAACAAATTCAAGACAATTATTCCAGTAAGTAACAAAATAATCTATTGTTTAAATTCCTTCTCATCAAGATGACTTTATTCCATAACACAGTACGTCCATCCTCTGGGCATGTTCATTCTTACCAGTTAAAGTGGTCATATGACAGACACTAGGGGTTTGTTTGTTCTGTAAACACAACTAGGATACAACAGCAAGGTCATAAGTGAATTTGAAGTAATTCAGTCCTGTGACCTTCCAGAGCAGGTGTGAAATCATCAGCTTGATTTATGGAGGCTTCACCAGTCTTGTCATGTGAAGGTGTCAGAAGTTGCCATGTGGGCACCGGCAAGGAAACAGTTTCTGTCATAGTGCAGCTACGTCTTCACCCTGGAACTCAGGGATAAGGTATTCCCTCAGAAAATCAGTGTTCTCACAGCAATTTTAATAAATTAAAAATAGGGGGTGGGGCAACTAGCAAACAAAAGATTCTTCCTTTAAGGCGCTCTTTCAAAATTAATGATGAAGAGTTACATGTGAATTGAAGCATCTCACAAGCACAGGGCCATATGCCCAAGGCCTGCAACTATACATCAGAAATAGCAAATGCAACAAAGTCCATTCTTCATAATGAAGTTTTTTAAGCAGTAATTAAATCAGCATGAGACAGCCAAAGGAACATTTAAGACAACATCACTGGTTCTTTATGATCCACTTGTTAAGGCATAGTTAGGAGTCGAGCATGCCAGGGCTTCTGGTCCCATCCAGATTCTTTCTTACGCCCAGGGAGGCAGCTTGTGGCAAGTACTAAAGTCTGTGTCAACTTCCTAGTATGGAAATAGGGACTTCTGGGACTCTGGGTATTATAGAAATCAAAGAAAATCCTAGCAAAAATACTAGTGCGATTTGCCACAATCATCTCATTTGGCTGTTTGTGAAAAATGCCCTTAGCCTGGTGCTCTGAAGCTCGTTCATTTCTCACACTCCTGCAAAAAATACTTCACTGTTTCTAAGACTCTTTGGTAGGACAGCTTTTACCTAATCTGATTTAGGGAATGAAACTGAACACACATTACACATCACAGGCTGGTTTTCTGACAGACCCCGTAGCATTCCTCTTTTCGTGTCTACATTAGGGAGTTAGGGAGGAACAAATATAATAATCCATTTCTTCAGGCCCACTGAAGGGTCCCCAGAGCAAATCTGATCTGGTTTTAACTAAGAAACTGAGCTGAAAATGAGTGGCCCCAGTTCTGTTTCAGCTTTGTAGAAAAATACCCTCTAAGGATTCATGAAGTAAACACACATGGAAGTGTAAGGCTGGGCGAGACCAGGAAGACCACAGACAGCACTTGCACCCCACAAGTAAGACAAGCAGTGGTTTAGCCATCGAGAGAACCAAGCATTAGCGTGATTAGCACATACAGCCACACCAGGGTTAAGTGAGCTTATGTTAACTGCCACGTTTGATGATGAAATATAGCAGAGATCATGCAGATCAGAATTTTTAAGGGAAAGCTTTAAAAATGTGATAAGGACGTGCAAGGTTGTAGAAATTTTGGGAAATCTGCGAGGCCACTCTTGCCCACATCTTTGCACAGTCAATTATTTCCTCAGCCCCTGGTGTCGACTGGAATACAGCAATCACACAGACTGCTTGGCATGTCTTCAATTTCAAGCTTTCACTCCATGTTGGTCAAAGAGGGGAGCTGTGCAGGCATGGAGCCTGGCTGCGGAGTCAGCTCAGTGAGCTCACTCATGGTGGTGGTGAGCAGAGGGTCCTGAGACACCACAGAGTCGTCCGCTTTGCAGGCGGTGTCTCTAGAACAATTCTGCACAGCAGGCACACTGCCTTGGACTTCGGCCAGGTTGTGAAAATGGCTATTTTCAGCAAAAGACAGCAATTTGTCTGCAAGTTTGGGTGATGCATATTCTTCGTCAGGCTGTTCTGTCTTGTGGCCTTCATCATTCTTGGGTGAGCCATCTACAATAACAAGGAAAGACTTCCATGGAGTATTCTTATCGTGTATCTACAAATTAAACAAAACGAAATTCTGTCATTGCATGTGACTCTGTTCAGTCTCCCAATTTACAAATATTTATTAGTAACAAGTACATCTTTTAAAACAGTAGTCTCTCTTTAGGACCAGGCATGGGCTTCCTCAGGGTCAGGCCCTTAGTGCACACCCATGACAATACCCACAATCCCAGGGCTTGGGAAGTAAAAATAGGAGGGTTACGGGTCCCAGGCCAGCTTGGGCTTCATAGCTCGACCACGTTGCAAACAAAAAGTAAACATTACTAAAAAAAAAAAAAAACCCAGGTGTGATGGTGCATGCCTTGAATCTCAGCACCTGGGAGGCAGGGGCAGGGAGATGGAGGCCAGTCTGGTCTACATAGTGAGTCCCAGGCCAGCTGGGGCTAGAGGGAGACCGTCTGGAAACCTAAAGCTCTCTTGACATAAATTTTGCTTCTAGTGAATCCCCTTTGTACTGCCTCACACAGCAGTTGCTAGAAGGTGTTTATCATAGACTTGGCTGTCTGGTCACCTCAGTCCTTTACCTTATTTGCCATATGTACTTAGTGCAGTGGACACATGGGGAACCTGCTGCTCCCTCTGACCCTCTGGGGAAATGACATGTATTCAGGCTGTTCAGAGCTCACAATCTATAGTCCAGGAGGGATTTCATTTCAAACAGCTATGCCATCACTTACTGAGGTGTGCCGACGGAGAGTGGACTTATCAGTAAACGTCCGTCCACACGCATTGCACATGAATGGCTTCTCTCCTGTGTGGATGCGATGGTGACGCTGGAGGGCATTTAGCTGCGTGAACTGTTTCCCACACTGGTCACAACAATAGGGCCGCTCACCTTAGACAGAAAAAGTAGAAAACTACTCAGTGATACTGCAGTTCACTTTGTCTAATTCTGAATACACTATGGATACACATCTGTACACCCTGGGAAGCCTGGGCACTCCCACAAGGAGGCTGCATTGGAATGACTTAAGGCTCCTGAAAAGGCACCAATCCACTATCCAATAATACCACGAGCTTACACCTGCATCGGAAGTAGGCCAATTCTGGACCTGCAGCTTTCAAAGTAACACCTACTACTGAAAGTAATGAAGAAAACTGCACGTCCCCTAATAAATAACATTGTGCATGCACATGTTTAATGAGCATGCTATTCTTTATCCCTGCATATGTCTGAAAGATAAGAATTCACACACACATCCGTAGGAGCAGTCACAGTGAAGCTGTCTGCCCTTTTCAGTACTTCATTCTGCAAAGGAGACGGTTGTCCCCCGTTTTTAGTTTCTCAGAACCAGGCTCTGGGCCAGCAAGACGGCTCAACCAGTAAGAGCAGCAGCCGCCAAGCCCGGCCTGAGTTCAATCCCTAGGACCCACAGAGAGGAAGGAGAGAACTCCCACAGTTTTCCTGATCTCCACACACAGGCCATGGCATATGAGTACCCATGTGCATAAAATAAAATTTTAAAAAGAGAACCAGAAACTACAAATTCAAAAATATAAAAATTGGGCTGGACACCAGGCATGGTGGTGTATGCCTGTAATCCCAGCATTTGAGAAATTAAGGCAGGAGAACCAGGAGTTCAAAGTCAGCCTGGGCTGTATGAAAATGTTTCAAAAATCAATCAAACAAAAATTTTTTTTAAAGCATAAAAATAGGGTCAGGGATGTGCATAGCATGCACAAGGCTGTGAGTTCAGTTAAAAGCACTGAAAAAAGTTTTAAAATGCTATTACAGGAGCTAGAGAGATGGCTCAGCAGTTAAGAATGCTTCTGCTCTTACAGAGGACCTGGGTTCAGTTCCCAGCACCCACGTGATAGCTAACAACTATCTGTAACTCCAGTTCAGGAGATCAGACTCCCTTTTCGAGCCTCTGCAGGCAGTGCACACACATGGTGCACTTAACATACACATAGGCAAAACATTCATACACATCAAGTAAAAATAAAATATTTTTTATAAAATGCTGTTGTAACAAAGTGATCATTTGTCTCCTAAAGCTTCTGATAGTTTGAGCCCAGAGGCTCGTGTTCTGAATGCTTAGTCTTCAGCCTGCACTACTTTGAAGGTTATAGAACCTTTAAGCTGTGGGGCCTGGCTGGCTGGAGTAGGTCAGCAGGAGCACACCGCTGAAGGTTATACCAGCCACAAGATCCTGCTAGCTCTCTGCTTCCTGATCAGTCATGATGTGAGGAGCCTCCACCACCAGTTCCCGTGATCCTGGCAATGCTTTCCCCACTGTGCTGGAGTGAACCCTGTGAAACCCTGAGCCAAAAGAAACCCTGCCCAGAAAGATGTTAGTGTAGTCACAATGACACAAAAGCAATCTACTTTCCAAGTGCATTTCTAGGAAACTTAAAATTTGTGAACTATTTTCCTTGACAAAATGAATTTTTTTACGGTACAGTGCAGCCATACCTGTGTGGACTTTAATATGCTGGTAAAGGGAATTTCGCTGGGCAAAAGTCCTGAAACACACTTCACATTTAAAGGGTTTAGATCCAGTATGGATTCTATTATGGTGTTTTAAATACTCTTTAGAAGCAAAACTCTTGCCACATGTCTCACACATGAAAGGCCTTTCACCTACATGGAGACAAAAAGAGAAACAATACAGGTATTAAAAACAATGTGGAAGGGCAGGTCCACTCATTCTCAAACACTTGGTGAGCATATGACACCATCCAATTAAAAAAAAAATCACATATTTATTCACACTTGCTACTTGTTGAAAGTTGTAAAATTATAGGAAATCCAAGAAACAATTCACTGGACTAAAATCAAATGAATATTATTCAGTTAGCTCAAATTTGAGACATTTAGTCATTATAAACAAAATTTTACAACTTCTCTTTGGGGGATTTGTTGGATTATTTTCAAAGAAGTACTTCCGTGGATCTTTTCAGAATAAAAGCCCCTCTTAAAAGGAGAGGTTGTTCATAATGGATTATCACATATCACTTCCAAGTTAGCAACTCCAGGCAACCTGACCGGACTGCTCGATACATTTTTATACCATCCTGTTTTTTGCAGTTTAAGATTCACATAATCAATAGGTGTGTCCAATTTCACAAACATTAAAATAAAAACATTGGCTTTAAGAAAATTTTTATACAGTAATAGTCTCATCAAATAACTGATTCTGATTTAATCTTTTGACGTCATAGGACATATTGCCTCCAGTCCACAACTTCCACTGGACACCAGTTCTGTGGTCAAGTAATTCACATCGTCCCTACCTCATGTTTTGCCTGCACTTGAACCTGAGTCCTGTGTGAGTGCTTAGAGGGAAAGAGTGGACCGGGTGAGCAAGTACAGCAAACAATGACAGCTAGGCTGTGTCCTCTGTAGTTTGTATCAATTCTGGTGCAGTGCTGACCCAGAATAAAGCCAATTTAAAACTTTCCCCCATGGTACGTTCGTATCACACAGATTTTAGAGAGATAGTATCACCATCTTAACATAACAGTTTAACATATAACTAGTTGCTCCTGATTTATATCCAGGTTTTCAATGCAGTTGGAACTGAACATACACTTAACTGTACATTTAAGTTCAACACCCAAGCACACATCTACCTATCCAATTCATAGTCCTTCCTCTGAAGGGCTACATCATAAGCCAAGGCATGGATTTCCAGCTTAGCTGAACAACTTGGTTGGACAATCAAGTTGTTCCCAAGAGCGCTAATAGCACAAGTTTTTCTCGTATTTTGGACACTTTCTTTAGGACAGATTCCTGAAAATGGGTTTGAGGCTGCAACAATAGAACCTGTTTCATACCTCTTAACATCTAAGACCCATGTGCCAGATTTCAGTGCCTGGTGGCACAGGCCATGGCTACACGCACAGCTGCATTGCAGGTGGCAGGGGCATCTATAATCCTGTTATTAAGTGGAAAAGCTGTAGAGAAGTTGTAATCTGCACAGCAGTGGTAGATACCAACTTTTAAATCAATCAATTGCAGTTTCCTTCTATAGCTAAGAGACAGTCAATCACAGTATCATGGGTATTTACCTGTGTGGCACCTTTTATGATAAATCAGCATGTGGTTCTGAGTGAATCTTGCACCACATTCATCACAGACAAAAGGTTTTTCCCCTGTATGAATTCTGAAAGTACAACATTCAGATGATAACTTAGGGTGTATTTAGGAGGTCACTTTGCAACACAATTTCCACTGTATCTTGTAAAAATCACTTCCTCTAAGAGCTCTTAACAAAAATGACTAATGGACAGGTCAAGAGCTCATCATCCATCCCAAAACAAATGGAGTTTCTGTGCAAGACCCAGTGATCAACACTTCCACTGAATTCCACATCCCAGCATGGAGCCACTGAACAGCACTTTCATCTCTCCTGGGTCTTGTGTATAAGGTGTGTGCAGGCACAGACTGTGCCTTTGTGTTATTTTGGGGGATTAGAGTGCCATCTAATATTTGGAAAGCTTCCTCTTTCAGAACAACCCACCACATCACCTTAGGAATTACTGACGAAGTATACCACATGATTAAACATTTGCCATCATTTCCTAATACCAGACTGTAGAGGAAAGCTGTTCTCAAATTGCTGACGGAGCCTGGTTTCTGAGCTACATGCATAAGTGTTGTAATTTCACAACCAGGACGAGGTAGCCATCAGCCACACTCTTCTTACTAGACAAGTACTTTGAACTTGGGCAGAGTAGAAGATGACAACCACAAGCTCCTCCCAGTCTGGCCTAGGTTTGATGGTAGATGCAGACTGCTTTGGAAAATGCAACTGCTTGCCTGAATTTAGAGCACACATACTGAGAACTATAAGGAACTAAAGAACTCACCATCCACCTAGTTTAATTTTTAAAAAATTATTTTGTGTTTGAGTGTTTTGCCTGTATGTATGTGTAAGTGTATCACATGCCTATCAGGAGAGGGCACTGGACCCCTGGGGCTGGAGTTATGGATGAATGCTGGCCACCACGTAGGTGCTGGAAACAGAACTCCTGATCTCTGCTCTTAACCTGAGCCACCTTTCCAGCGCCCCACCTACAGCTTGAAAAGAAATGAAAGTGTCCATCCTAATTCTGGAGTTTGGACAAAAAAAAAAAAAAAAAAAGTGGCATTTTCCAAGCTTCAAGTCTAGAGAAGTATCCCAAAGCCCCAGATGTGACCTCATGAAACTTCGGTGGGACTGTGGGAACCCAGGTTAGAGTGACATAGTGTGCCTACAGACCTCAGGCCACACAGCTGTGCCCAGGCCTCTATGCTCTGGAGGATGGACCCAAGGATTTCAAAGAATTCTAAGAGCCAGCTCCCTCACCTCCACCTCCAAAGAGGATCCGAGCTGCCTCAATCCCCCAAGTCCTAGGGGGCACCAGTGAAGTGGACAATCTAGAGACACAGCCACGCTGGTGCACGTACTAGAGCCACCTTAACTAGCCAGCACACACTTGGGTACTTGGGAACCCACATCCCTGTCTGCAGGACAGCCCTGCTCCATGCGGCCCGCGCCCAGGCAGCCGCACCTCATGTGGGTCTTGAGCGCCGAGGGTTGTGAGAACTTGGCGCCACACTCCGTGCAGCTGTAAGGCCTGTCGCCCGTGTGCGTGCGCTCGTGCAGCCGCAACGCTGTCTTGGAGCTCAGGCCCTTGCCACACTGGCCGCAGCGATGCCGCTCACCGCCACCCTCGTGCACCTGCACCACGTGCCGCTTCACGTCCTTCTTGCGCTTGAACTTCTTCCCGCAGAGCTCGCAGGGGAAGTGGCGCTCGCTGCTGTGCACGTGGCGCTGGTGGCTCTTCAGGTTGCAGCGGTTGGCGAAGGTCTGGCCGCAGGTGTCGCAGCGGTACACCACTTCCGTGGCCACACCATGGTGGTGCCTGATGTGCTTCAGGAAGCTCTTCTCGTACAGGAAGGCCTTCTCACAGACGGAGCACTGAAAATTGCTCTTCTTCCTCTCCCCATCGTCTCCTTCCTCCCTTTCTTCCTCTTCCTCCTCTTCTCCCTCCCCTGCCCCCTCCACTTTCTGCAAAGATTCCTCCAGCTGCACGTCAGCATGGCAAGCCTGGCTTTTTGCATCTGGCTCCATCTCCATCCCCTCACTGTCTGGGCTCTGGTCTTGGGGACAGTAGTCCCCCTCCGCATCCTCAGCGCGGCTTTGCTGTTCTCGGAGTCTTCTTGTGTATTTCTTTTTAGGGATTTCCACAAACACCTTTCTTCCAGCCAGCCTCCCGCTAGCTCTTCTGATCTTGGGGTATGGAGGCTTAGCCACCTCTTTCTTCTTGTCCAGTTTCTCCTTGCATTTCTTGGGTGGTATCTCTGCTGGGAGGCCATTGCCAATTCTGTCTACTGAGTAGTCAGAGGAATCTATGAGGCCAATGGGGTGAGCACCCTCCTCCGGTACACCTGCTCCAGAGCCTGGGGCCACACCGACCTGGGGGTCACTGCTGGCCTCCACCTCCTGAGACTCTGAGAAATTCTGCAATTCCAATAGGACTGACTCCAGCATCTGTTTCTTCAGCTGAAAGCACGTTTCAGATAGGTCCAAACACTTTAGCTTTTCAGCCGTTTCCAGCATCCGCTGCACCCGATCTTCTTCTACCCGCACCCTGGCAGTGTAGACAAACTCCAGAAATGAGGCAAAGTCAACAACCTGTACTTCATTTAAGTAGACATTAGTCCTGGTGCCATCCACACTCTTCTCATTTAAGAACACCTCTTTAAAAAACTTGCTGGTGGCCGCCAGCACTGCTTTATGGGCCATGAAGTCTTCACGGACACCCTGATACTCCACACTGACCGTGACGTCACACAGGTGGCCCAGAAGGCGGAGCTCATGCATTTCATGCAGGAGGTTCAGTGGTGAGGACTTGGACTCCAGCAGCACCGCTCCACTTTCCATCTTTCTTCCTTCTAAAAGCAGCTTTGAAAGCAAAACCAAGAATTAATGATCTCACTCATGCATATCCACTGGGGGATAAAAAGGACTAGAAATTATGAGGATTATTTTAGAACTTGAGAAGATCCATATTAACTAACAAACCCAACTTTTCTCACTGAAAGATTCAAATCAGCCTGATGTGGATGGACACACCTATAATCCCAGCACTTTGAAAGTAGAGACAGGATTATCAGGAGTTTAAAACCAAACTCACCTACAAAGTGAGTTTGGAACCAGCCTGGGTTACGTGAGACCCTATCTCAAAACAACAAAAGGAGAAACAAAAACACATAGGCAGGGGCTGGAGCGATCGCTCAGCAGTTGAAAGTTCATACTCTGGTAGAGTTTGGTTCCCAGGACCCACATCTGACAGCTCACAACCACTCATAACTCTAGCTCCAGGTCCTCTACAGACCTCCAAAGGCACCTGCACTCACAAGTACATAGAGCCTCCCCCACCCTATACATAACACATTATTAAAAACAAGATAAATCTTTAAAAAGTATATATACAAGGGGCTGGAGAGATGGCTCAGTGGTTAAGAGCACAGGATGCACTTGCAGACGACCAGAGTTCAATTCCCAGCATCCACATGACAGCACCCACACGACCAGCTGACAACTGTCTGTGACTCCAGTTCCAGCAGAATCCACCTTCTGACCTCTGGGGGTACTGAACGACATGGGTACACTTATATACATGCAGGCAATACACTCATATACATAAAATAAATATTTTAAGTAGATACACAAGCCAGGCGTGGTGGTGCATGCCTTTAATCCCAGTACTTGGGAGGCAGATGCAGAAAGATCTCTGTGAGTTCAAGGCTAGCCTGGTCTACATAGTGAGGTCCAGACCAGCTGGGGCTACAGGAAGACCATGTCTCAAAAAGACAAAAAAAAAAAGTAGATAGACAAATTACATTTCATGTCTTCAGTTTTCTGAAGTTCCTAAGTTGCTTTCATATTTTCATGAAAGCAGTATCAGCAAGACTTCCCCCCCAGTGATAAACACAAATGATTACAGTTATGATTACTGAAGTACATTAAGGCAGTATTTGCTTATCAAGGTCATTTTCTAATTAATTAAGGGACATAGTCCAAAGCTATAGTAGAATTTACACCAACTAAGTCTAGTTCTTTCAGCAAGAAACAAACAAAAAAGGAACTCCCAGCTCCCACCATCTGGGAGCAAACTTAGTCACTTGGCAATCACTTTCTGCCACTGAAAACCAGTCCATGAGAACTTCCTGGAAAAGTACTTCGCAATTCCATTCTCATTTGCCATGTCCCTAAACACATGGTAACTTGATTGACTCTCCTGAAATAATTCAAGCTCCATTACCTAGAGCCTTAGCTTCCTCCTCTTGGGAGGCCCACATTGAGGCACAGCACAGCATAGCATCTGCTTCCCAATGGCCTGAAATGTGCTGGCTAGTGGTGGGCTTCTGCCACACCTGTGAAATGCTGCTGCATCCATTTCACAGCTGAGAAACTAATAAGGTCATTTGGTAACTGGCTGATGAGGTCTTGAACCTGAGCCAGTTGAGCTTGTCTAGGTTAAGCTAAATTGTTTTTCAACACACCCCTCACCTCAGCCTCACCAAATCAAAGAGCTACCTTTATCTTCCAGATCTTTCCCGGCCTATATCCCCTCTCCTGACCTCCAAAATGCCAGCCCATCTTCATGTCTTCTGCTCTGTGGGCTTTATTCTCAGCAGACCTCCTGATTACGCCCCCTGTTCCCTCAAGGCTCACCAGATCTCTGTCCCTGAATCGACCTTCCCCTTTCAGATTTGCTTTGGTTTCCAAGTCTCCACCATCCAGTGCACTCCCTTCTTACCCCCTTACCCAGACCCTAGATATCATTTTGGATTGATTCCACGTGTCTAGCGAGACTTGCCACTGCCTCTCCAACTCACTCCGGAGACCAGTACCTACAGTCCATGATCTCAAACATAAAAAAGGGAATGCAGTTTCAAAATCAACACCTGGGAGCCTTATGTAATGTTGCCTGAAGGGGACTCTACAGGAAACAGTTTACAGAGACCTAAGTAAAGGATACACTAGAATGGGTGCTAGGTGAGGCAGTACTGGTGAGCTGACGTTCTGCAGCGATCCCGACCCCAGCCTGGGGACAAAGGCTGCAGGCTCCTCTTTGCCTGATGCCCATATAACCAGCCTGACTTGTCAACACCCTTGCCCCTCAAGGGAACTGGAGTCCTTTCGGGCCGCCTGACTTCATCATACGGGATCCTGAGCAGTATTTCCTCTCCTTTGCCAACCACCGGGGCAGGCACAGGTCATGGAGAGGGGCAATCGGAGGCCTGGTGACAGCCGCGCCCCACTGCAACTCATTGGCATTCCGGCGGCCTCCGGGTGCGCCGAGCATCCTCACCAACGTCGGCGGGCAGGCAGGCAGTCCCGGCCGCGAGCTCCCAGGCCAGGCCTTTCAGAAGACGCCGCTCCCGGCGGCCGGTCCACCGCACAGATATGCTGGCCCAGGCGGGGGCGCGGAGCCAGGGTGGCCTCGGCCACTCAAACCGCAACCCCTCCGCGACCACCCCCAGCCCCGGACCCCAGGACCCTCCCAAGGGGTGGGAAGAACGCACCCTGGTGGCCAGGGTCCCCTCTCCCGCCGCCCCTCCCCGAAGCGGGCCTCCCGGGCCGCATGGGTGCAGCCTGCCCCTCGGCCCGGGACGCCCCAGCCCGGCTCCTGCATCCCGGAAGCTCGCCGCTCCTTGGGACAGCAGGCGGAGAACAGCCAGTAGGTGAAAAGCCAGACCCGCCAGCCACACTCACCTCGCAGCCGGTGCCCGGGGCCCGGCCGCCGCCGTCGGGAGTATCAAGCCCGCTGGAACTGTGGCCGCGGGGGCCGCTGATTGGCCGCCGCGAGTAGGCCACGCCCCCTACCGACCCCGCCCACCTGTGGGCGGGGGAGATGCTGCGCGCGCACGTCCCGCTGCGGAGGCCGTTCAGGCAGTTACGTATTCTGACGTTAATGGGGCGGAGCGAACGGCCGGTGCGCCGGGTTACGTCACCCGCCTCTAGCCCAAGCTGCATCTGTGCAGAAGGTGGCCATGGCGGCGGGTAGAGCTAGCTACCTGACCGCGTCCGGAAAACGCCGGAACATGTGGCCGCTACCGGGTTCCCGGCGGCTTGCTGGGCTTCGTCTGCGTGCAGCGGTGGTTCGAGGCCGGCTTCCTGCTCAGGAACGCGGCGATGGTGGGCCCTGCGGAAGTGGCGGTGGGACGCCTCACCCAGCCCTGGATTCTTGGAATTCTTTGCTGGAAACCATGCTGTTTACCTCCATCCTTAATCTAAAGACCTGCCACCTGTCCAGCTCCCCGTAAATTCTGCACTTGCTGTTTCGCGTCTATACTAAACTAAGGCTTTACGCAGTAGCCTTCTCCCTACTATCCCAGGCAGCATGACCTTTTCTCGGGTTAATAACGTCGGTGGAGTGAAAGAACTGAGAAAATAAAAAGAAACTAGGCACCATGAGTGCTCAGGGGCCCACAGCCCACTTGTTAAAACTTAACAAAAACCAGACGCCCCCAGCCCTGGATTCTTGGAATTCTTTGCTGGAAACCATGCTGTTTACCTCCATCCTTAATCTAAAGACCTGCCACCTGTCCAGCTCCCCGTAAATTCTGCACTTGCTGTTTCGCGTCTATACTAAACTAAGGCTTTACGCAGTAGCCTTCTCCCTACTATCCCAGGCAGCATGACCTTTTCTCGGGTTAATAACGTCGGTGGAGTGAAAGAACAAATTAAAATTTAGAGGCTTAACTAATAGATCTCTTGCCACCTCTCATTTGAACATTTAATTTAGAAAGATGGTGCTTTATCCTCTCTTTGAAATGTATATAAATCTTCTTGAAGAAGAAACTGGGCTTCTTGTCCGAATACTGACCATTTAAATTTAAGTATCTTTCAATGGGTGTGGAAGCTGCCTGTTTGAAATAGAAATGCCTGGGACACTGCATTTAACTCGCCAAATGCCGGCTCAATTCTTCAAAATTATCTCCTGTTACAAAGATTGTAACTGCTTGTCCTTTTCCTTAAGCCAATTACCTGCCATAAAGTTCATTCCTATTGCCAGGTGAAGTTAGGTTGAACTGTGTGACAGATGGTGCCAAATTCTATTTGAAAACTAGTTATTATCTTGAAAATGTAAGTAATAGGGGACTGGAAAGATGGCTCAGCAGTTAAAAGCACTAACTAACTGCTCTTGCAGAGAACCCAGGTTCGATTCCCAGCACCCACGTGGCTTCTAGCAACCCTCAGTAACTCCAATTCTAAGAGGAGATACATGCCCTCTTCTGACCTCTGCAGCCATTGCACAATACGGGTATACTTACATACATGCAGCCATTGCACGATACGGGTATACTTACATACATGCAGGCATAGCACTCATATACATAAGATAATAAAATATTTTTTTTAAAAGAAAAGAAAATATTCTGGGTGTGGTGGCACACGCTTTTAATCCCAGCATTGGGGAGGCAGACCAGGCAGATCTTTGTGAGTTAGAGGTCAACCTGGTCAACATAGCAAGTTCCAGGCCAGCTGGGGCTACAGGGAGACCTGTCTCAAAAAGACCAAAAGAAGGGGCTGGAGAGATGGCTCAGCAGTTAAGAATACTGGTGGTTCTTGCAGAAGACCCGGGTTCAAATCCCAGCATCCACATGGCAGCTGACAACTGTCCATAACTCCAGTCCCAGGGGATCGGACAGCCTCTTCACACCTCTCGGACAGCCTCTTCAGACCTCCACGGGTATTGCATGACACTGCACTTACCTACAGGCAATACACGCATACACATAAAATAAAAATAATAAAACTTTTTTTTAAAAGACCGAAAGAAAATATATGTAATGGGCCATATCAGCTGTGCTGTACAAAAGAATGAGATCCTGTTTGCAATCTCTTAGTGGATTGTAACTTAGTTAATTTTGCTAAAAAGCACTGACTCCTCTCGGCCCACAAAGTAACTGAAAGCAGGATGGAAGACTGGCATCACTGCCTTCATTTTGTGTTTACTTTGGCTCAGATTCCTGCTTGACCCTGGCTACCTAATTTCATCCCCCTTCAAGGTTTAAGGTCAAGAGGCAAGTCATCGTTTTAACCTTTCTTTTTGAAAGAGGATTCCAGAATTGCAGACCAGATCCTTAAGCATCCCAGGAGCTAGAGACTGAAACTACCCCATTGCAAGCCCACCACCCCAGATGAGAACAGTTATCTGTCCTGGAGGGGCACGTCCTGGAGCAGTACTTCCTGAAGGAAGTCACTTAGCATGACAAAGATGAACAGATTAACAATTTTTATTGGACCAGCTTAAAGGACTGACCACCAGGGAAGACTGGTTCAGCGAGCACGCCCTCTATTTAAATTCTTCTATATGTCGCAACAGCCATGTAGTCTGTAGTCTATGAGTTGCCCCAAAGCATAATTTCCCTTTTTCTTCTTCGTGCCTTTCTTACTGAGCATGCTTTCTTTCAGGCTTTGGGCCACCCCCTAGCATCTGGCACGTGTCTTTACTTTCTCTGAAGCGTCCTTCTCCCAGCCATGTGGCTGCCAGTCAGCCACTTGTCTGACCTCCCACGCAGGCTCTAAACCTGCATGGCCTCCTGTCTTTCTTTCCTCCCACCCTTCACCTTCTCAAGGCAGTGACAAGATTACCAGCTCACCTGCCCTGAGGATTTCTTTTTCTTTAAAATTCTAATAAAATTGTAAAAGCTTAATTTGGCTGATTTGGAACTTTTTGAATCTGGGTAGTCTTTCCCTGTGGTACTGAACTCCATAACACCACCAACCAAAAGGCTGAGTGTCATGAGATTGCAGCTGAGGCCTATAGCTAAGATTTCTGTTTTACTATAACCACCTACTTAATGTTTCCAACAATGTATTGAAAAGTGCCTTGATTTATGACTTTCTTTGTTCTGTTACTATAAATGTGAAAAATTGCATTCATTCAGCAAGGAAGCAAGCACCATTCAGACAGTTAAAGAACTCAGGTTTATTTATGCCGGTGGACCCAGATGAGCTAGTACTCTGAAGTTCTGGGCGCCAAGTCATGGTTTCTTAGTTTTTATCCGTTTTCCCACGTTATTTCTCAACTGTTACAGCACTCATGGATTCAAACTGCAGCCTGCCTGCGTGACCATCAGCCACAGGTAATCTACTCTAGACAACCTTGAGGAAATTCCTTCTGCAGTTAAGTGGTCAAGCGTGTTTACAGAAGTGGATTCTGAGAGCAGAGGTTAGGGCATTCTTTTACAAAAAGGACAACTACAAGCATCTTAGCAAACTGGGCAATTGCAGGCAGATGTTTCATTGATAATTGCAGTAACCATTTCTCAAGAAAGCCCCTGTAGTTCTGGGTTTTTTCCTAGAGAGGCTATTCTTGTGGTATACTAAAGTAAAAATAGTGATATAAGGAATATTCAGTGCACACAAAGTTAATATTAACTGCATGATGACTGTTTCTTCTCCTTTTCAAAAAAACTTCATGAAACTGCTTCCACATTGGAATATGGAAGTTGGGGTGATGTAATTGTTCCAGGGTCAGTCATATTTGGCTCCAGAATAAACTATCTCCTACCCCCTTTGAAGTAAAAGTTGTGCTTTTGTGTCAGCTCTTATGGTGCCACAGTGTGGGATCCTTGGAATGATCTACTTCTCACTAGAGGAGTCCTCTGGATGGAAATGAGGTACCAGCAAGTAGCCATTGTGCCCGAGTCATCTGACATTATGTCCTTAAGAGGATCGTGATGAGTTCTTTCCTGGGCTTTTTCAGAGCACTCTTGGTTTTAGATGAGAGCCCATTTGTATTTTGAGCTGGCTGTTTAAGGATCCTATTTGATAGATACCTTTTTTGGTCTTTGTTTTGCTTTCAGAGTGTTTGGTTTAAGGTTGTGCATTTTGTTTGCTTTGAAAGCATTTTGGTTTTGACATTTGGTTTGGTTTTTGGTTTCTTTCAAGCCCTTGAAGGCATGCTGGAGTCTGACTATTAAACTCGCTAGCAGTCTTCTTTCTTTTTTCTTTTTTCTCTGGACACTTCTCTCATAGCTAATCTAAGGAATAGCAAAATATTTTGAGAAAACAAAATCTATTTCATACTCCATCTGATCTTAGATTTAATTAGTGTGTAATTCAACTTATAAATGTAAAAAATCTAAAGATAAGTTCCCCTCAATGAGGGGGGGAGCATTTACTACCTCTAAAGTAATATATTTTGCATACTTAGCTAGAAGTCCTAGGCAATAAAATTCTTTTAAAAAAATCATAACTGGGCAGCCTGCTTTAGTTAAATTGTAAAATCATCTTGAAAAAGAAATAATAAAATTGATACCTTACAGTAATTAATAAGAGCTCAAAAAACATATGAGTTAGGAGATATTAAAAATAAATTAGTTAAAAAAATCAGAACTAAAGATAAAATCCAAGAATAACCCTCCTATTATAGGAATCACTGCATTCAGAACAGACATCAGAGACTGAGTGGAGAATTACATTGTAAGCTTCATTTGTGTCAGCATGAACTCAGCAAGTAACCTCCAAAGCCTGACTCCGAACCATGGTTACTCAGAGCATTTACAGGCATTGACCAGATCTTCAACCAGATTATAGAAGAAAACTTCCCTAAATTAAGAAAAGATATACCTATACAGATAAAAGTAGCACACAAAACACCAATTAGGACCAGAACAGAAACTCCCCAGAGCATATCATAGTAAAAACTAAATGTACAGAATAAAGAGAGGGCACTGAAAACTACTAGACAAAAGCAAGTATAAAGGAAAACCCGTCAGAATACAGCTGACTTTTCACTATGAAAGCCAAAAGAGCCTGGACCAGAGTATTTCAAGTTCTAAATGACCATGGCTACCAACCCAGAATACCTTACCCAGCAAAACTTTCATA